TTTCTCATCGCTCCCTTTTACTACCCAAGCAGCCCATGTTCCCGAAGTCCCGATTTTTTTTATGAAGCCACTCCTTTCTCTTCTGAACTTCAAAACAATTTATTCGGAATCAGAAAACTTAGTCACAAGCAAATTAGATGTCTGTATCTTATACATCAAGAAAAGGTTTAATTTTAAAAATTGGAACTCTTCAGGTTAAAGATGGTAGGTTACACACATGTATTAATAAAATGGCAGTAAGAAGGTTTTTCAAATGCCACAAACCTACAAGAACAATGAGAAGGGAGAGAAGATCATTAGGGAAAAACATTTGAAAGGCAGACACTAGCCCTAGCCCTAGCCGGTGTTTCTCAGTGGTCACAGCATTGCCCTGCGAACTGGTACGATTCTTGGTCAAGGGCATGTACCTGGGTTGCAGATTTGATCCCCGTGCGGGAGGCAACCAATTGATGTGTCTCTCTCACATCAATGTTTCTCTCTCTTTCTCTCTGTCTAAAAATCAATGGAAAAAATATCGTTAGTTGAGGATTAACAACAACAACAACAAAAAGACAGGTGGTAACGGACACGTGGTAAGCGATTTGCTGGAACTGAGAAAGGGGGACCTTGAGCTGGCAGTGGGAAAAACGAGAAGTCAACAGATTTTCCTCGCAGAAGCCACAGACACAGAAGTTAGCACCTTCGGGCAGGAGACTGGCAGAGCCGTCTCTAGAGAATCTGGCCAACCTAAGAACCAACCTGAATCAGGCCCTTTGGGGATCTGTGTGAGGCTTATTATGAAAAGCTGGGGTTCCCCATAACTTCCTATTCCCTCAGCTCTGTGACTTCCTGGAGAACCACTTCCCGGAGGAGGATGTGGCCAGCGGGGTCTCCCTGCGTGACTGCACAGCACAGGCCTCCCACCGTGCAGAGCTCGGTCAGCGTGTAAGGGCCCAGCTGAGGTGTGAGCAGACGCCCACGCTGTTCCAGGTATTTGAGGAAAACATCTACTATCGAAAAGACAGCGGCCAGGTGCATGAGTAAATAATGAAATAATAGCATATTATTCTGCCTTAAAAAGGAAAGAAATTTACACTGGCCAGCATGGCTCAGTGGTTAGAGCATCGGCCCATGGACCAAAGGGTTGCAGGTTCGATTCCTGGCCCAGGTCAGGGCACCTGTGGGAGGCAACCAATCAATATGCCTCTTTCACATCAATGCTTCTCTCTCCCCCTCTCTCTCCCTTCTTCCTTCCTTCCCTCCCTCCCTTCCACTGTCTCTAAAAACCAACAGAAAAAAATATCCTTGCATGAGGATTAACAAAAAAAAGGGGGGGGGGAAGAAATCCTGATATAATCCCAAAATATAGATGACTCTTGAGGACATTGTGCTAAGAGAAGTTAGTCACAAAAAGACAACTACTGTATGATTCCACTTATATGAGGGACCTAGAAAAGTCGAATTCATAGAGACAGACGGGAGAATGGTGGTTGTCGGGGGCTGGGGGACAGGGTTGGGAGCTGTTGTTTACTGGGCGCAGAGTTTCGGTTTGGGAAGATGAAAGGGGTTCTGGAGGTGGTTACACAACATGTGAATATGCTTAACACTGAACTGTACACTTAGAAATGGACGGCGGTAACTGTGATGCCGTCCGTTTTTATAAAGTCCTGCTAAGCTGGCAGAACTCAATGGGTGGCTTAGAGGTTTATACCTGGGAGAAAACTACAAAGAAAGTCAAGAAGATGGTGACCACGGCAGTCAAAATGGTCGTGACCTCGGAGCAGGGACCAGCCTGGGATGGGGGTTGGGCTCTGGGCAGCTGGCCATCTTTCATTTCTTGACCGAGGTGATAGTTCTTTTCATACACATTCTACAGTAAAAGAGGAAAAACACTTAGGGGATGTCTTTGCAGATTGATGGGGCCCAACACAGTGGATGAAATGGGTCCAGACCAAGACTTTTATTTTATTTTATTTTTTAAATATATTTTATTAATTTTTTACAGAGAGGAAGGGAGAGAGATAGAGAGTTAGAAACATCGATGAGAGAGAAACATCGATCAGCTGCCTCCTGCACACCTCCTACTGGGGATGTGCCCGCAACCCAGGTACATGCCCTTGACGGGAATCGAACCTGGGACCTTTCAGTCCGCAGGCTGACGCTCTATCCACTGAGCCAAACCGGTTTCGGCCAGACCAAGACTTTTAGAGCACGGGGGCCAGGGAAGAGCCCGCCTGCTCCCAGAGACGAGAGGTTTTCTGACCGTCGTAAACCAGCATGGAACTGGGTTCCCAGTGCTGACAACGGGAGCCGGAGGGGACAGCTGTGCATTCAAAATACCGAGGACAAGTGACTTTCCATCTTGATTCTCTATCCAACGATAAAGTGTGAAAGTAAAATAGACATTTTTCCACTAGCAAAGTCTCAAAGATGTACCCTTACCTATCAAGGTTCTAGAGAATATACCAACCAAAGCCAGGGCTAAAGCAAGAAAGACACAGAATCCAGGAAACTAGGGATCGACTCAAGAAAGAGGTGAACTGCCCGTGGCAGTCCCCGGATCTGGCTCTTGTTTCAACAGCGTTTGCATGGAACAGACACAGGGGCACCCCTTCTTCCCGCTTCTGACCCCCTCCAACCTCTTTTCCAGTCACCACCTCCAGACCCACCTCAAACATCCTCAGCCTCCAAGACCAGCCAACACCGTTTTTGACCTTAATTCACTGCTGAACAGCCATGAGCTCCCAAACTCACCAGAATTGTTCCTCCGAGGTGGAGGCTGCCGGCCACAGCCTAGTCCCCCTGCATCTGTGACTGCCTGCACCTGCCTCTCTCTGGGCTTCCATTCCAACCGAGACAATGTGGCTCTGGAGGGCGGGGGCCACTTCTTCGCGAGTTGGCCGAGGAGAAGCACAAGGGCACCCAGTGTCTCTTAAAGATGCAAAACCAGCGCAGTGGCCGCACTCTCTTCCAGGCCCTGCTGAAGCCTTCCCAGGGCGCCATGGAAGCCGCCACGGCCATGGAGAAGAGCCAACCGGAGCCAGGCCCTTGGGGGATCTGTGTGAGGCTTATTATGAAAAGCTGGGGTCCCCATAATTTCCTATGCCCTCAGCTCTGTGACTTCCTGGAGAACCACTTCCTGGAGGAGGATGTGAAAGCACCTGACTCACCTCCGCAGGCTGACGGCCCCCAGCACCACTAGGAGCCTCTGGAGCCGAGGCCTTTGAGGGCCCCTCTGCACCCCCCTGGTGTCTGCCTTCCGCCTGAGCCTCTCCCGGAAACCACTGGGCATCCTTTTAACCCGGGAGCCCTCTCCCCAGCATTGGGACCAAATGGAAACAACAAAGCTTTTTGCAGCAAAAAGAAGGAAGGAAGTGATGAAGGGATGAGGGGGAGGGAGGGAGGGATGAGAGGAGGGAGGGAGAGATGAAGGGGAGGGAAGGAAAGGGAGGGAAGGGAAGGGAGGGAGGGATTGGAGGGATTGAAGGGGAAGGGGATGGAAGGGATTGAGGGGAGGGAGGGAAGGGATTAAGGGGAGGGAAGGGAAGAATTGTGGGGAGGGAAGGAAGG